GGCCTGTGATTCATTTTTCCTTGTATTCATCTTTACTTTTCCCTCATTCCATTCAAGACATAAGATTTCCAGATTCAAATTTAGGGTGTGGTTCTTGGTGAACAGTCTTTCAGTCTTCCTCTTACCTAAACAAGAGAAATCCTTGGGGGCCCACAAAGTCCTGATTGAATCACGAGTAGACTACATTGGGATTGGAGTCCAAAGCCCAACCTATGACTCAGAAGTTGGAATTTTAGCCGGGTGTGGTAGCTCATGCCTGGAATCCCAGCACTTTAGGAGGCTGAAGTGGGAGGGTTGCTTGAGCCCAGGAGTTCAAGACCAGCCTGAGCAATATAGTGAGACCCTGTCTCTACAAAAAGTAAAAAATTAGTCCAGTGTGCTGATATGTGCCTATAGCCCCAGCTACTTGGGAAGCAGAGAAGGGAAGATCACTTGAGCCCAGGCGGTCAAGGCAGTGGTGAGCCATGATTGTGCCACTGCACTCCAGCCTGGGCAACGGAACAAAAACCTGTCTCAAAACACTTAAAAAAATTTTTAAAAGCAGAATTTAGAATTCGAATCACCAACATCCGGTGTAGTTAAACTGACCAAAGCGTATATAAAGCTATGGTTTAGGAGGCAAGATCACTAACGAATCTTTAGTGGCTTTAAGGGCTGTTGTCCTATTTATGGATCAATCCCCACAAGAAGAGCAAGGCTAATGCACAGGTATGGGATCCAGTAAGTAGACCATGGTCTTGGTGAAGACGGTGATTCAGTTGTAGCGTGTTTGGTTGACTCAAGACAGGGCCTCAGTATGCAAACTTCTGACTTAAAAATACCAAGTACTGCTGGGCTGCTCTGTGTTCTCTACTCCAAGATCAATTTTCTTCGTCATCCTATTCCTCAGCCAGGGCTGAAGGAGTAATATCCAATGCTAGGGAAAATAGGCAAATTCCTCCTGGAACAGGAAAATGAACTGCAGAAAAGAATGCCTGCATCACCCTGAGAAGGATAACTGCAACCAAGGTTTTGTGATTTCAGTGCTGAAAAAAGGTAAGATTTGGGGAATGACACTCTGCAGAGATAATATACTTCTCAATGGGACCCTGTATACACAGAGCTGGAACAACCTGGAGCAAAGAAAGCCAGAGTTCTGCTGGGATTAAAGTAGCTCATAGTGGCTTCTCTTCATATATTGGTAAACAGAAGCCACTCTCATTTCAGGACTGTGAAAACAAAACAATGGGCAGCTTAAGGGACAAGAGAAATAATTTTTTTAAAAGAAAAAGAAGAGGAGGATCTCAAGAAAGGCCTCAGTCACAGAGGTGCAAGCCTTGTAGTCAGAGGAAGTGGACCTTGAACAATCAGTAAGAATTGATTGATGTCTTAGTGGGGCTGGAACTCAAAATCCTTTATTTTGTAATTTTTTGTCTGATGTGTTCTCCCTTAACCCTTTTGGCCTATTGCTGGTAACAGCAATGTATACCTAGAGCCACTTTCTCCAACCTACTAGAAGCTAACTACATGTGGCTATTAACCACTTGAAATATGGCTAGCCTGAATTGACTCTTTTTTTCATTGTTGTTCTGCTTACTTCTCCATGAGAGAGTCTGTAAGTGTAATATACTCATCAAATTTCAAAGTCCTAGTTGAAAGATGTAAAATTTCTCATTAATTTTATATTACATGTTGAAAAGATGTTACTTTGAATATACTAGGTTAAATAAAATACATTATTAAATTATTTTATTTCTTTATACTTTTTAAATCTGATTATTACAAAACTCAAAATTACTTTTTGGGTTGCACTTTTTTTTCATTAGACAGTCCTGATCTAGACCATGAAATATTTTGGTTCTAAGTCTGTTGTTTTTTCAGGTATATGTGCTAAGTAAAAAATAATTCACACTTAATCCAACAGTTCTAAAATATAATGTGTTTAAAAACCACCTGGGAAACCAAAAAACAAACAAAAAGTGCGATTCTTGCTCCCCAGACTCCCACCAGATTCTAACAATTGTTATTTAGAATAAGAACAACTATACTACAAGGCTACAGTAATCAAAACAGCATGGTACTGGTACCAAAACAGAGATATAGACCAATGGAACAAAACAGAGGCCTTGGAGGCAACACAACATATCTACAACCATACAATCTTTGACAAACCAGACAAAAACTAGCAATGGGGAAAGAATTACCTGTTTAATAAATGGTGTTGGGAAAACTGGCTAGCCATGTGCAGAAAGCAGAAACTGGACCCCTTCCTGACACCTTACACTAAAATTAACTCCAGATGGATTAAAGACTTAAACATAAGACCTAACACCATAAAACCCTAGAAGAAAATCTACGCAAAACCATTCTGGACATAGGCATAGCCAACGACTTCATGACCAAAACACCAAAAGCATTGGCAACAAAAGCCAAAATGGACAAATGGGACCTAATCAAACTCCACAGCTTCTGCACAGCAAAAGAAACAATCATTAGAGTGAATCGGCAACCAACAGAATGGGAAAAAATTTTTGCAGTCTGCCCATCTGACAAGGGCCTGATATCCTGAATTTACAAAGAACTCAAACAGATTTACAAGAAAAAAACAAACAAGCCCATTCAAAAGTGGGCAAAGGATATGAACAGACACTTTACAAAAGAAGACTTACATGAGGCCAACAAAAATATGAAAAAATGCTCATCATCACTGGTCATTAGAGAAATGCAAATCAAAACTACATTGAGATACCATTTCATGCCAGTTAGAATGGTGATCATTAAAAAATCTGGAGACAACAGATGCTGGAGAGGATGTGGAGAAATAGGAACTTTTACACTATTGGTGGGAGTGTAAATTAGTTCAACCATTGTGAAAGACAATGTGGCGATTCCTCAAGAAATTCCATTTGACCCAGCAATCCCATTACTGGGTATATATCCAAAAGGATTATAAATCATTCTACTATAAGGACACATGCACATGAATGTTCATTGCAGTACTGTTTACAGTAGCAAAGACACTGTTTACAATAGCAAAGACCTGGAACCAACCCAAATGCCCATCGATGATAGACTGGACAGGGAAAATGTGGCACATATACATCATGGAATATTATGCAGCCATCAAAAACAATGAGTTCGTGTCCTTTGTAGGGACCTGGATGTACCTGGAAACCATCATTCTCAGTGAACTGACACAAGAACAGAAAATCAAACACCGCATGTTCTCACTCATAGGCAGGTGTTGAACAATGAGAACACATGGACACAGGGAGGGGAGCATCATACACTGGGGTCTGTTGGGGGGGAAATAGGGGAGGGACAGTGGGAAGTGGGGAGTTGGGGAGAGATAGCATGGGGAGAAATGCCGGCTATAGCTGAAGGGGAGGAAGGCAGCAAATCACGCTGCCATGTGTGTACCAATGCAACAATCCTGCATGTTCTTCACATGTACTCCAAAACCTAAAATGCAATTTAAAAAAAAAAGAACAATTATTTTATATTTGCAACCATTTCTCTATGAGATTCTAATGCAGGAGGTCCTCTGACCATACTTCAAGAAACAGTGGCTTAGAGTGAACAAGACTGCATTAATCGTATTTGGTTCGAGGATGTTCTTCTGGTTTTTAAAAATACATATATTTTTTAGATTTTACTTTTTTTCCTTTTTTAAAGTACTGAGTTTCAGGAAAAAGGTCTTCTGTTTTTTAACTTTAATGGGCAGGAGTTGCTGTTGTGGTAGTCTTAGGTTTCTGCTGACCCTCTAGAACTTGGGCTAAGTATACTTCACAGGAGTCTTAGAATTAAATTAAGCAATTCTGATTAATTCTAAGCAATTGAATTGGAAAGCTACAACCTTAGCTCACATTTAGTGGAAGATGGCCTAGAATATACCTCAGAGGAAAAAACTCAGGCTGAAACATGGCCCTGAGATAGTCCTAATGGTGGGAATGCATGGATTAAAAAGAAAATCTGCATGGTTGCAGGCAAACAGGAAGGAGACATGCAAGAGGCCCCGAGACACTGGATCTGACATTAGAGCTTTGATTTCTCTGTAGGGACAGAAAATTGGCTTGATACTGGGAAAAGGTTTGTATTGTTAAAATGTATAAAGTGTATACAGAAAATAGCTGACATTATGTGCTGCAGTCATCAAGGGCTCAGTATATACTAAGGGGTTGAAAGGTGGATTTTGAATTCCGATCGTCTGAGTTTTAATAATACTTCTTCTATGGGCAAGTCTCTTAACCTACTCTCTTCTCTTAAAAGTAGAAAAAATAATTATACCTAACCATAAATTAGCTGTGAAGATTACGTGAACTGATATATGTAGAATACATAGAATTGTGTTTAGCACATAATAGTTATATAAAGCTAGCTATAATTTTGTATTATGCTGTGGTAAGTTTGTCAGGTAATGCATAGCTTAGCATACTTTATTTTATTTATTTATTTTTGAGATGGAATTTCACTCTTGTCACTCAGGCTGGAGTACAATGGTGCAAACTTGGCTCACTGCAACCTCCACCTCGTGGGTTCAAGCGATTACCCCGCCTCAGCCTCCCAAGTAGCTAGGATTACAGGCATGTGCCACCACACCTGGCTAGTTTTGTATTTTTGGTAGAGATGTTGTTTCACTATGTTGATCAGGCTGGTTTCGAACTCCTGACCTCAGGTGATCCACCCACCTCAGCCTCCCAAAGTGCTGGGGATACAGGTGTGAGCCACTGCACCTGGCTTAAGCATACTTTAAAATAAGGAAAGAATCATATCTAGAGGCATATATATGCCAGAAAGAATAAAAAATTAAAAGAAAAATAAAATAAGGATAGCAATAGAGGAGACTGCTTTGCCTAATGCAGGCTACAAAAGAAGTAGCAAGCCCAAGTACTTGTAGGGGACAGGTAAGTTGCACAAATATATGTAGATGATGTATATTAGTTGGAGTTCTCAGAAGGACAGATCTAATAGGGTGTGTACATAGACATATGAGAGGGTATTCATTAGCGGAATTGGCTCACATGATTATGGAGGGTGGGAAGTCTCTCAGCAGGCCATCAGCAAACAGGTGGCTCTGGGATGCTGGTAGTGTGGTTCAGCCCAAGTCTGAAGGGCTCAGAATCAGGAAAGCCAATGGTGTAACTCTCAGTTGGAAGCTGAAGGTCTGAGAATCTGGGGGCTGCTGGTGTTATGTCCTAGAGTCCAAAGGCCGGCGTCTGGAGGACTGATGTCCAAGGATAGGAGAGGAGAAATGCATCTCAACTCTAGGAAATAGATAGACATATTTGTCTTTCCTCTGTTTTTGTTCTTTCAGCCCTGGCAAACTGGATGGTGCCCACAGGGTTTTCCTCACCTAGTCCACTCACACTCACATGCTAATATCTTTTGTAAACGCCCTCACAGACACACACCAAAATAATGCTTTACCAGGTTTCTAGTGTTCAGTAATCCGGTCAAGTTGACATTTAAAAAACATTACAAGTTGTATTGGGGAGTTCAGAGACAAGGAAATAAAGCAGTGAATAATAGGATGAATAGAAGAGGTAGTTGCCTTTTGCAAATTAGAGTAAGCATGCCTAGCCTAAGGACATTCGAATTCAGTATTTATTTATCAAAAATGCTAGTCAAATTTAACAATGTCTTTGGATCATTCTAAGAGGCTAGCTCTCAGTTGGCCACATACATAGTTTCGAGTTGTCATATGCCGTTTCAGTTAAAGTATTGTCCTATACTATTTCTGATGTGTCTAAGGGAAACACCAGGCCTTGAGGGGGCTACATGGCCTATCTCTGACTGATATAAAGGAGCCATGGTAAGGATTATAAACAATTAAGGCATTTCTTTTTTTTTCTTTTCTTTTTTTTTTTGAGACAGGGTCTCGCTTTGTCACCCAGGCTGGAGTGCAGTGGTGTGAACGTGTCTCAATGCAATCTCCACTTTCTGGGCTCAAGTGAAACTCACGTCTCAGCCCCTTAATTAGCTGGGATTACAGGCATGCAGCACCATGTCTGGCTAATTTTGTATTTTTTGTGAAGACCCAGTGGTTTCCCCACTTTGCCCAGTTTAGTCTTGAACCCCTGAACTCAGGCAATTCGCCTGCCTTGGCCCCTCAAAGTGCTGGGATCACAGGCAGGAGCCACTGTACCTGGCCCAGTTAGGGTATTTCAAGTACTCTGTGATCTCCTTTGAATGAAACAGCAACATGCCATGGTTTGAGTGTTAAATTCAGGTGGATTAACAGGAGGACAAAATAAAAGCTATTGGCTGTACACTTGAGGGAACTGAAAGTGTTTTTTGCTTCACTTTGCCTCCAAAAGAGGATACCTACTGATAAAAACAAAAGTAGGTAACAATGCTGGGGGCTGGAGTTTTTTATGTCACTGGTGAAAAGGTTAAAGCAGTACTTTCTCAACCATTTTCAGTTTGTGCCACAGCCTACAGTGACTAGGACAAAATTTTTTCATCCTCCTACCTGCCCCAAAGGCACACTCTGACCCTTTTCTTTGAGAAGAGCTCTTCAAAGTTCCTTGAATACATGTGGTGTTGCAGCTGGCTTTTCCTCACTCAGTTGTTTTCTATAAACCTTGCTTTCTTTATGGATAAGTGGTAAATGGCCTTAGGTGTCCTCCTAATTGAGAAAGTAGTGTCTCCTGTTCTTTTTTCTCTTCCATTCCTGAAACCTTCCCTTTTAAAAAATTCACTTACTGAAAGAATTCAAAGAGATCTACTGGAGCTTGTAGGTATTCCAGAAAACCATTTTTTTGTTTGTGATATACTTTTGCTTGGGATAGTTCTCTTTTTTATTTCACTTTAAATTCTGGGATACACATTCAGAATGTGCAGGCTTGTTACACAGGTGTACATGTGCCATGGTGGTTTGCTGCACCTATCAACTTGTCATCTGGTTTTAAGCCCCACATGCATTAGGTATTTGTCCTAATGCTCTCCCTCCCCTTACCCGCAGTTCCCTCTTTTGTTTTTAACTTTTATTTTAAGTTCAAGGGTACATGTGCAGATTTGTTGCACATGTACCATAGCTGAATTCATGTCATGGAGGTTTGTTGAACAGATTATTTCATCACTCAGGTATTAAGCCTAGTACCCATTAGTTATTTTTCCTGATCCTGTGCCTCCTCCCACCTTCCACCCTATCATAGGCCCCAGTGTGTGTTGGTCCCCTCTATGTGTACACATGTTCTCATCATTTAGCTCCCACTTATACAATTGAGAACACACAGTATGGATTTTCTCTTCCTGAGTTAGTTTGCTAAGGATAATGGCCTCCAGCTTCAAACATGCCCCTGCAAAGGACATGACCTCATTTTTTTGTATAGCATTCTTATTCTATGGCATATATGTACCACATTTTCTTTATCCAGTCTATCATTGATGGGCACTTAGGTTGAGTCCATGTCTTTGTTATTGTGAATAGTGCTGCAGTGAACATACACGTGCATGTGTGTTTATATCAGAATGATTTATATTCCTTTGGGTATATACCCAATAATGGGATTGCTAAGTCGAATGGTATTTCTGTCTTTAGGTCTTTGAGGAATCACCACACTGTCTTCCACAATGCCAACCTTTTACTATCTATAAGTCATCAAGAGCCCAAACTAGTGTCTGAGTCTATGAGAAAATGGTCAAGAATGACAGGTGGGAATTAGGAAAGGATGCAAAGCTTCTGCCAAGAACTGTATAATTTTTATTTAATATTAATTAAATATGCTAGTATGCCACCACACCCAGGCACATCACTTGAGGCCAGGAGTTTGAGACCAGTCTAGCCAATATGGTGAAACCCTGTCTCAACTGAAAATACAAAAGTTAGCTGGGCATGGTGGTGCATGCCTATAATCCCAGCTACTCAGGTGGCAATCACCAATAGTCCCAGCTACTTGGGAGGCTGAAGTGGTAGAATTGTTTGAGCCCTGAAATTCAAGTCCAGCCTGGGCAAAATGGAGAGACCCTCCAAATAAAAATAATTTTTACAAAATCAAATATATAAAATGTCTAATGAATGTGCAATGCCAATGACTTCAGCAGACTCTAATTCTACTAAGACACTTGTAGAGCTAAGACACTAGTTACTCATTCATCTCTCTTTAATATCTCAACACAGTTTAGAAATCCAAAGACAAGGAGCAATATTAAATTTAGTATTCAAAATTAAGGTTTACATTAATGCTATCAAATGACTTATTCATTTAATATTTCTAAGCTTGGTTTTTCATAGATCAACTTTCCTTTTATTATTATTCTTTTAAATTTTTATAGACTTAGAGAGTACAAGTGACTTTGTTTGTTTGTTTGTTTTGAGACAAGATTTTGCTCTGTTGATGGGCTGGAGTGCAGTGCCATGGTCACGGCTCACTGTAACTTTGACCTCCAAGGTTCAAGCAATCCTCTCACTTTGGCCTCCTAAGTAGGTGGGACCACACGTGCGTGTCACCACACACAGCTAATTGTTTTTTTAAAAAAAACTGTAGAGACTGGGTCTCCCTATGTTTAGGTCTTGAACCCCTGGACTTGGGCTCCCAAAGTGCTGGGACTACAGGTGGGAGCCACTGGCACAGCACAAGTGGAGATTTGATACATGGATACACTGCATAGAGATGAAGTCTGAGCTTTTAATGACCCTGTTATCCTAATAGTGTACATTATACTCATTAGGCAATTTCTCATCCATCACCCTCCACTTCCACCCTCCTACCATTCCAAGTCTCCAATATCTATTATTCCTCTATGTCCATGTGTACGTATTATTTAGCTCCCACTTACAGGTAACAACATGAGGTATCTGGCTTTCTGTTTCTGAGTTATTTCACTTAATATAATGGCCTCCAGTTCCATCCATGTTGTTGCAAAAAACATGATTGCATGCATTTTTATGGATGACCAGTATTCCATGGTGTGTGTATATACATATATATATAACACATTTTCTTTATTCAGTCATCCATTAATGGACACTTAGGTTAGTTCCACATATTTGTTATTGTGAATATTGCTGTAATAAAGATGAGTGCAGGTAGATTTTGATACAATGATTTCTTTTCTTTTAGGTAGATAAATAAAACCCAGCATTGCCTACCTTATTGTAGCATTGTTCCCTAATGTATAACTATACAGCATTTTTTATGTGACAGGCTATGATATTAAAATGTATCTATATCTATCTAATCATTCTGTTCATTTTATTCTCACAAAGCTCCCAAGAGATAGATAACATAAAATCTTTTTATTTTCAATATAGTCCTTGTGGCAGTGGCAACCAACAGAATGTGCCTCTTAGATCTTCTACAGAGGAAGTCTGATTGGCCAAGAGCTCTAACCTCTGTGGTCTGAAATCAATTGCTAGGTTTGCACACTGAAGCCAAACTTCCCATGAGCTGCTCCCAACCAGCAGGAAGACAGACCTGTTCCTGGGAGATGCCAGGACTCTTCTGATGGTCCGTTATTTATTTATTTATTTGTTTGTCTGTTTATTTTATTTATTTACTGAGATAGAGTCTTGCTCTGTCACCCCGGCTGGAGGGCAGTGGCCCAATCTCGGCTAACTGCAAACTCCACCTTCTGGATTCAAGCCATTTTCCTGCCTCATCCCCCTGAGTAGCTGGGATTACAGGCACGTGCCACCACACCTGGCTAATTTTTGTATTTTTAGTAGAGACAGGGTTTCACCATGTTGACCAGGCTAGTCTTGAACTCCTGACCTCAGGTGAGCTGTCTGCCTCAGCCTCCCAGAGTGCTGGGTACAGGCATGAGCCATCATACCTGGCCTGTCTGCTTTGGTTTGAGGACTCTCCAGTGGTCTTGTAGACTTCCTTTGATTACACAACAGTAAAAGATGCTTCTACCTGTCCTTTCTTTTTCTTTCCTTCCTGCCTGCCTACCTTCCTCCTTTCTTTTTCTCTTTTCCTCACTCAGAATCAGACATGCATTGTAGTCCTATGGCTCTCCTAGCCTCTCCCAACTCCCCACATTTCTTTCACAGGTGTTTACCCTAATAAGTATTTTTCCTATTTAATCCCATCTTGGCTTCTGCTCTTTGGATGATCCAGACTAACACAGGGCTAATGTATTCTATCTGTGTGTATATGGTTATAATTTGTAATTTGCAATTCTTTTGACTTTTAACTAATTTTAACTTTTATTAAAATAATGTATACACACAATTTAAAAGTTCAATGGAACAGAAAAAGGCTTATAACAAATTGTAGCAAATTATAACCTATCCCTTCCTACCTTTCTCATTCTATTC